GAGTTGTACAAGCCCCCGATAAAATGATTTAAAAAAGAAAGAAAGAAAGAAAACCCACAGAATAAGAGAATTTTATCTGAGATGTGCCCTAATTAGTATTAGTATTAAAAACTAGGTTTTTGTTGTTGTTGTTTGTTTATTTAAAAACTAGGTTTTTTAAGCAGTCCAACTTTCGATCACAATTTTCCATAAATAAACAAAGCTGTAGTGCTTGTCAGGGCTGCAATTCCACTGCCGCCAGCAATCCAACTTAGTGGTCAAACCCCAAACCAAATTGATTCCTAGCAATCCATCGGGTTTCCAAGACTGCATTCTTTATGGAGGCTGACTGTCTCATCTTTCTCCCACGGAGTGGCTGGTGGGTTTGAACCATCTACCTTTTGGGGAGCAGCCCAACGTAAGCCTCACTGTGTCACCTGGGTCTGGATCCCCCAAGGTAATGAAAAGACTTTTAAAAGATGGTTATCTAGGAAAGTAAGTCTACTTCTACCAAGTCTGGTTACTTTTGGGCAAATAACTACATAGAGCAAATCCACCCTGTTTGAGAACTCTCGCTTCTAGAAGGAACCCCTGGAAGCACAGCCCGCTCCATGCTGGGCTGCTAGCAGGGAGGTCAGTAGTTTGCAGTCAGCTGCCACTCCATTGTAGATGTGTTAGTCCAGGTTGACTGCAGTAGTGGTTCTCAACCTTGCTAATGCCACAACCCTTTCATACAGTGCCTCATGTTGTGGTGACCCCCAACCATAAAATTATTTTCGTTGCTACTTCATAACTGTCATTTTGCTACTGTAATGAATCGGTCGACCCCTGTGAAAGGGTCATTCAACCCCCAAAGGGGGTGTGACCCATAGGTCGAGAGCTGATGCACTAGAGAAACAAATTCATTGACACTCGTGTGTATAAGAAAGAACTTTCTATAAAAGAGCAGTTGTATATTGAGAAAGCATCCTAACCCAGTCCAGACCAACTCCTAAGTGCAATATTAGCCCCTATGTCAGATACTAGTCCATACATTCCTCTTTAGACTCACTCAGCACATGCAATGATATCAAATGCAGGAAGATCACAGGCCAGTGGGTAGAAGGTCTTGTGGATCCAGTGGCAGTGGAAGCATCTCAACACTGCAGTCTCCAAAGCCTCCTCCAGCTCCCGGGCTCTGGCTCCATTGTGTCTCCATGTGGCTTGTCATCAGGAACGTGTGGGAGAGAGTGTGTCCTACCTCCAGGGAGGAAGACTGAGCTCCCAGAATCCTGTAGAGAAGGCCATGCCCACACAGAGGCCTAATTGGTTGTGACCTGATTGACAGGCTAGACTCCACTCTTTCACTCAAATTAACAGGAGAGTGTGTAACTGCCACGGTAGAGAAGTGAGATTTCTACTACAGTAACAACCGTACAATCTTGAAAACCCACTAGAGCAGTTCTACTCCATCCTATAGGGTGGCCGTGCGTTCAAATAGACTGGATCGCAGTGAGTTCCGCTTTGGGGTTTGGGCTCCTGACCCCCCCGCCCCCACAAGTGAAGTAGGATCTCTTAAACCTCACTTCACTGCCAACAGTGGAGTAGGAGTTATGCGTTGGCCTGAGACCCTCAAGGTCTGAAGTTCAAAAACACCATTTGTGCGTAACTCATAAGGCGAACTGCTTTATAGGGTTAACGCATCGGCATCAACCAGCTGGCAGGGAGCTTGATTTTTTGGGGGGTTTCACGCGATGGAGCCCATTCTGACTCACAGCGTCCCTGAAGTAGAAAGGAGTAGAAAAGAGCGGCTGGTGGTTGGCCTCGAACCGGCAGCCCCACGCGGAGCCAGCGCACCACCAGCACTCCCGGGGCGGTTGGAAAGGAAGATC